TTCTTGGTGTGACCTCAGAGCACCTTCCAGTACCTAAAAGGGGCTCCAGGAAATCTGCAGAAGGTCCTGGGACAAGGGCAATGGCTGTAAATTGAAGGAAGGCAGGGCTAGATGGGATATTGGGAAGGAGTTCTTGGCTGTGAAGGTGGTGAGGGCCTGGGATGGAATTCCCAGAGAAGCTGTGGCTGCCCCTGGATCCCTGGAAGTGTCCAAGGTCAGGTTGGATGGGGCTTGGAGCAAACCTGGGCTGGTGGAAGATGTCTGGGGCTTGGAAAAGATTGGCTCTAAGCCAGACCATCCTTGGATTCTGTAATAAAATACTTTTAAATCCAGGTAAACTTATCACCAACTTTGAGCCTGACCCAGAATAACTCATAAAATACCACAGCCCAAGGATGCTGAGGCAGCTCTGACTGAAGGTGGGAGCAGAGGGGTGGAACAAGGCGGGCTTTGATGTCCCTTCCAACCCAAACCATCCCACGATCCCGTCAAAGGGCTGACCTGGCCGTCCTGGAGCCCCCCCAGGAGCAGCCCTGCTCCCAGTGCCAGCCCAGCAGGAGCAGCAGGATCTCACCCACCTTCCTTGGAGCCCGTCCTGTCGGCGTTGGGCCCCGTGTTGGGGGTGTACTTGGTGTCCCTCGTGGCAGTGCTCTGCTTCGTCCAGTCAAAGTTGTCTGTGTCGTCTTGAGTGAAGAGGCAAATGTTGCCATCCTCGAAGCCACAGTGGAACTCTCCTGCCAACACAGCCAAGAGCAGGAATTCAGTGGCCAAAGCTGTCCCTCCAACCCTCGTTAGTTATAATGAACACGTTGGGATGATGCTCAGTAACAGCAAAAAGGGGCATTTGTGAATACAAATACACGTATTTTGATTTTCCATCGAGTTTCCTGTGTTTAATGTCATTTTCTTTCGCAGGAACCTCAGCAAAATGGAAATCAAACAAAATATCATCCATCTCTGCTGGTGCTACTTGAAATGATATTTAAATCTTATTGCACAGCTCGTCCTCTCGTAGTCAGGTTTATACACTCAGGGTAAACATTTAGACATTTATGTATTTATACAATTTCAGATGCGAAGTTATATATTTATTCAGTTTTAAACACAAGTTTTATACACAAATGTACATGTTTATACATTTTAGAGGTGCTGTTTCTTCTTACCCAGCTGCATTTCTAAAAAGCTGGGAAGAACAGGCACCGTGTCCATAAAACATGAACCATGGGGGGGAAAGTGGGAAGTGGATTTTTTTTGTTTAGGGATCCAAAGATAAAAATCTAAATATTATCTCCAAGTGGCATTTCTTAAACTATCCTTGATTTCAGTGGGGGGGGGGGGGGGGGAAAGGAAGTTGGGGCTAAAATGAGAGCAAAGGAGCTTTAGGGTTGACGTGAAGAACAGCCCTAAAAATCAGGACAGTGCAGCACATGGATGCATTGCTCAGGAAAAACATTGGGTTCCCATCACTGGAATACCTTTAATCGAATAGAGAAATGCCTGGAAAAAAGGTTTAGGTCTATCTGTACTGTATCTGGGCAGGACAGGTGATTCTATCCCCTCCTGAGGACAAATTCCTGTGCTTCCATCAGCAATTCTGTGCTGGACTTGAGGTCAGGTGGTAAAAGTGCAGGTCTAAGGAATTAAAAATCGCCAAGAAGCCCAGAAAGGATCACTGGGATCCTCTCCTGCATGGAAGAGAGGAGCCAGGGCAGTGCTCTGACCTGCTGGGTTACGAGGGGATGACAAATTCCTCCTGACAGGCATTTAGGAATCAAAATAAATCCAAACTTGGAGGTTCAGCTCTCCTTTCAGAGCAAAATAAGGGCCCCACGTAGCAAAACCTGCAAAAGCCTAATTCCGTGTGCATGAACAATTCCTGCCGAGTTTGCTCTTCCAGCAAAGTCAATTGATTTATCTGGGAAAAGAAGGAAATCTCCCTTCTCCTGGGAGAAAGCAGCTGCCTGCACACAGCGCCAGCCCTGGCCTGTCTGAGAGGGGGGCAATTTATATTCACTGTTCTGAGCAACTCAAACACCCAGCACTGGGGGATTATTTATCTCTGTTACACTGAGAAGGTGGATAAATGTTTGCAGGTTTGGGGGTTTGGGGAACTATAAATCCGAACTATAAATCCACTTAAGCCACTGCAGCTTCCCCGGTAATCAGTGAGGACAGAGGGACCTGGGGCTTAGCCTGGGCTCGCACTGCTAAGCCAGAACCTTGGGCTGAGGCTTAGTTACACTCAGGCGATGGTGCAGGCTCGAAAGTGGGCTGGAAAAAATCCATTCCAGACCACAAAGTGCTTAAGGAATGATTTCCAAGTCTTATTCTGCTGCTGCCTGTCCAGGGAAAGCCAATGGGATCCAGAGGGGCTTTAGGAAGAGGGTCAGGGAGGGGATCCAGCCCCTCTGCTCAGCCCTGGGAGGCACATCTGGAGTGCTGGGTCCAGCTCTGGGCTCCTCTGGATAAGGAAAACACGGAGCTCCTGGAGGATGAGTCTCCTATGGAGATGATGAAGGGTCTGGAGCATCTGTGAGGGAGCTGGGGCTGTTCATCCTCCAGAGGGGACACCCAGAGGGCACCTCCCCAAGGGCTGGCAGGGCCTGCAGGGAGGGGGCAGAGGATGGCCCAGGCTCTGCTCGGGGGGGCCCAGCAATGGCACAAGAGCCACGGGCAGGAACTGATGCCCAGCAAGTTCCACCTGCACAGG